CTCTCTCTCTCTCTCTCTCTCTCTCTCTCTCTCTCTCTCTCTCTCTCGTCTTTGACTATACACAAAAGTTCGTGTTCACCTTGTTGCAATAAGGTTCGCACATTAATTTAGGTCACTTTTTTTAGTTGACTTCTTTTTTCCCCATTTTAGTTCAACAATAAGTTTAGGATAAAGATTGATTCAAAAGGAAATAAGAGGAAAAGGAAGATAGAAATTAGTTGGAATTGTAAATCAATGATTGAAGTTGAAGTTTGTTGAAATAAAAAAGGGAAATTGGGGAAGAGGGCTTGAGTTGGCAAGGAGGAGGAGGAGGATGCAGTTGGTTTGCCAGGCCATCTGAATCCAACAGCATCTTTTTGCTGCACATGATGAATCAACTATAATGCATATACTTTCTTACCATTGTTTTCTAGCAACAAATAATTCGCCTCTTTCAAATAATTGCAACACTTTTTTTAAAAAAAAAAAAAAAATTTAACAGACTTAAAACATCATTCAATTGCTCAAAAGCTTCTCCCCTGGACCAATTTTAGAAACCCTATAGGACTTCACTAAATAGATTGGTTGGTGCATGTGTGTCTTTATTAAAGTTATGGGCCTTCGCTCAAAGTTTAAGTTTGCTAAGTGGTTGGCTTCCAAAAGGGCAAAAAACTGTTCATAACTGTAAACATAAACCCAACTACCTCAACATTACTTTGAAGGCTTCCCAGTTTGGCCCTTTTGGGATATCCAACTCCCTTCTTTCTTTACCATACAACATTCATATGTATTTTTTTCATATCCCTTTTAAATTACTTTCTTTTTATTCTTTTTATTCAAGTGGATCGTGTGTATTCAAGAGTAATTCTTTTCTTTAACATATATATATATATATATATATATAGATGTGAAGATGATAGTTCTTAAAGAAAATAATTCGGATTTAGATTGGAGAGATCATTAAATATAGTACCATATTTTTCAAATTATTCATAAATGGTGTTTGTGAAAAGGTAGGCAGGCTATAAAAGAAGCTCATTTAGAGCATTGAAAGAGTTTGGTGGATGGACGGTTAGAAATATATCAGGTATTAGCGTGTATTAGAATAAAAGTCATAAAACTATGTTTAGCGTTTTAAAAAAAGATTTTAGTGATTTTAAATAAATACTAAGTTATTATTACCAAATTGTTATTAATATTATTTCTTACCTCATTGATTGTTGTGAAACCATAAATAATTGATCATTATTGAAATGTTAATGGAGAGTCCCATTGAACTATAAAAATCACCATACACCTTTAATTTCCTTCCAGTTTTTTTTAAGCTAAGCTAAAACTATAAATTGAGAAGAAACTTATCCTCCCGTAACTTCGATCAAAAAGTGAAATTGTTGAACTAAAAATAAAAGAAACTCCAACGTTGTGCGCATAAAACATCCTTCAACATTAGTAAACACTAAAAATGTAAGGCACAAACATCTTTTATCAAAGGACAACTGAACTAAATAAAACAGTAGCTTTCTGAGTTTGTGGTAGGAAGAAAAGAGTATGAGCTTTCCATCAGTCATTGAAGCAAAACTAATTTCTGTCATGTAAATTCGATCATGTTGTCATGTTGTGCCTTATGTTGTTTTTGTATCTTGCAGTTGCCTCCTCACTAGTGCAGTGTAGACACCATCCCTGCTAAGGAGATCTTCGTGTGTTCCGCTTTCAACAATCTGACCACCAGAAACAACGGCCACCGTGTCTGCTGTCTTAACGGTGGATAGCCTATGCGCAATGACGAGCACGGTCCTGCCTTTCATCAAAGAGTCCATTGCATCCTAAAACCCGGCCATTGATGAGATTCATGATGATAAATATGAAATCTGAAAACAGGGTAGGCTACTTTTGAGTTTCTAATACCGAACAACAAGAATTCACAACACACCTGTACTAAGTGTTCACTTTCAGCATCTAGAGCACTTGTGGCT